TGACATCACCGGAAGTGTGTCATAAGGCCACACCCCCCGACATCACGGGAAATGTGTCATAAGGCCACACACTCCGCCCCCAACGGTCCCGTCCGCCGGCGCTGGCCTTGCAACTCCACTGCTGAGCCCCATGAGGGGCCCGGCAGTGGACCTGCAAGGCCAGCAGGAGTGCAAGGAAGCCCCGCGAAGGCCCTCCCTGGCCCCAGGCAGGCAGGGGTGGGGAGAGGCAGGGAGGAGGCAACTTACCCTCCCTCTTCTCGTGCACGAGCCCCATGAGGGGCCCGGCAGTGGACCTGCAAGGCCAGCGAGAGTGCGAGGAAGCCCCACCAAAGCCCTCCCTGGCCCCAGGCAGGCAGGGGTGGGGAGAGGCAGGGAGGAGGCAACTTACCCTCCCTCTTCTCGTGCTTCCTTTTGGCTGAATGAGGGCCGGAAGCGGGGCGGCCGGAAGCAGGGGCGGGGCTTCGTCATGTGCCCCACCCCCCCCTACCTCACCCAGGGGAACTGCGATCCCCCCCGTGATCCCCCCTGAAATGACCTCTGCGTGACCCCCTATTTTGCCCTGGGCTCAGGACTCTCTGGTCAGGGAGGCCTTTCTGGGTTTCTGCATCCTTAGAGTTTACACTTCATTTTTATTAGCCTGTGGCTGCAGCTGTCGGGGCACGGAGATAGCCACAGGAAGTGGCAGAGAAGTACAGAGCGGGCAAACCAGGAATCACATGCAAACTGGGATCTGTGACTTCAATCCAGTTCCCCAGCCACGTTTATCAGGTCATCTGAATGTAGCTGCAGTCCGTTATTTTAAGAAAGGAACAGGGTGGTAGGCTTTGTCGTACAAGAGGCATTCCCTTCTCTTGCTCGCTGTGGAATACCTCTTTCAAAATGATGTCTGCTACAGTGCAGACAGGCATCTAAAAGGGGGAAAAAATCCATACCTATTATTTTTATTCATGTGCAGATTTATGCCCATTTGAGCATGTGTCTACCACTCATGAGGAGCTGCGGTGGCTCAAGTGGTTAAGACGCTGAACTGCAGGCTGTGGAAGGTCGGTAGTTCAGCAGTTCGAGACCCGAGTGTGCCGCATGACGGAGTGAGCTCCCGTCTCTAGTTCCAGCTCCTGCCAACCTAGCAGTTCGAAAGCAAGAAATTGCAAGTAGATAAATAGGTACCACTTCAGTGGGAAGGTAACAGCGTTCCGTGCACCTTGATGTTTAGTCATGATGGCCACATGACCACGGAAATGTCTTCGGACAGCACTGGCTCTTCGGCTTTGAAATGGAGATGAGCACTGTAACCCTAGAGTCAGACTTGACTGGCTTTCGAGCAAGGGAACCTTTACCTTTACTAACACTCATATTGATTGGCAGTGTCATTCTTCAAGGGGAAATTACAGTGCGAGACTGCTGAACTTGAGTTCATTCACAGGTTTAGAATAGTGGACACACACACCCCTGGGCTGAATAGGGACACGGGATTCTTATCTCCAGATGCTAATTTTCTGCCCCTGAGCATTTCCCCCTCTGCTCTAATCAAGCTGAGTATAATATGCATCCTCTCCAAGCGTTCTTTACAACCCAACTCCCATCTTTTGACTGCAATGTAACGACCCCGATCTCTATTCCTACTT